TGTACACCGCATATACACGTTTACGAGATGAAAAATTTTAGAATTGAAATGACACGAATCAATCGATAGAAAATGGAATGGCTGAAATAATTGAAAGAATGTTGTTGAAAATTAGGAGAAAGAGTTGGTCCTAAATTGATTTGCAAGAGAATGATAAATTTTTCATCAAAATGGTAGTCAACGATACAGTATGATTGAATACGATATAGTGGTACTGTTTGCGCAGTTCTTCTTATAAGTGTATGATATCAATGATAGTTAGCTAGTTATAAAATATGTAAAGAATTGAATAAAATTGAAAACAGTCTACAAAAATGCTTAATGAGTAATGAGCAAAAAAGAACGTAGGATGAGGAAATATTGATTCCTAGCACTATTTCAAATTTTGAATTTGCAAATAAAAAGTTATAATATTATTAAAGATTGTCAAATAACTATTAAAAGGTTAGTTTATCAAACAATTTCGTTGAGTAATAATTAATTAAGTTACTTATTGATTGAATATTTAATTAATATATTCACTGATGACAACGTCATTGAAATTAGCAAAGCTTCAAATTTGCTTGATTAAATATAAAATGTAACTAATTTTATTTGGTTAACATAAAGTTAATTGTGCAAATTTTTCTAGTTAGCAACTTTGAAAAGTAACTCAAAAATTGCCAGCTTAAAATTATAAATTAATATGCTGCATTTCGCATACACATTTTTGCAGCAAATAAAAAACTTTTCAACAAAAATAAATTTAAAAAAAAAAAAATTGCGTTTGTGATAAAAACAATGGCCTTTTCAGTCTCATTGCTCATTACTAAATTTTGAGTGTATTTCTAACAACGTAAAAAGACGTGTAGAAAAATGAAGTCAATAAGTTCAAAGTATTCAGTACAATTGTTGAAGGTAAGAATGTGCATTTAAAGGAGAAAAAAAATTTTCAATAATAAAATATGATAGAATAAAATATCTCCGCATATATACAATTATTATTAAATACAAAAAGTTTTCTTCAAATATACTATGAGTTATGAGCAGAATGTAAATTTTTTTTAATCATAATAATTTTTAATTGTTTATTGTAATATTCAAGATTGTCAATTAAGTTTAAATTATTAAACTTTTAAAAATATTGAAAGTATAAAATTAAGATAAATTTTGCTATAAAATAAATAAGCATAAAATTATTTATGCCAACGTAAATCTTAATTTCATTCCTTATATCTACCATAGTTGTATTAACTTAGACATAACTAAAAAATACTAACTACTAAAATCGTCTAAAAATTCATGTCATTACTCTAAGCTTATTTTGAAAGAGAAATTGTTTGAAAAGAGCAAGCAGAAAAATATTTGTATACTGTAATGAATTAATTTCAATTCATCGAATAACATGTCAAAAAATTTTCATGCAATAGGCTGTTAGAGAAATAAAATAAATTATTGAGGAGATGTCACTATATGCATGAAAAATATTTGTCAAAAGAAGTATACTTTTGCATGGCTTCCTTCAATTAATCTTTACTTTTGTAATATTATGATTCACTTCAATATTTTTAAAAGTTTAATAATTTAAACTTCAAAAAGTGACTAATTTTGAATATTACAATGAACAATTAAAAATTATTATAGCTAAAGAAAATTTACATTCTGCTCATAACTCATAATATTTATTTGAAGAAAACTTTTCGTATTTATTGCTGACAAAAATGAAAAAAGTGGCATGCTAAATATTTCAGTACAAAAATTATCATTTTTTAAACCAAAATGAATCTGTTCCTTACTTTAAATTGTTATTATTATTATTTTTCATTAATTGTTTTACAAAATTGTGCTAATTGTTATGACTGCATTAATTACTAACAACATTGTAATAATTTTGCTACGTTTACTTAAAATAATGTGTTTACTTATGAAATTTATGCCAGTATGTATACTTAATAATTTAATTACTTACTCTATTTCTAGAAATTATTACTGATAGCAATTAACAAAGATTTATTCGTAAAATGCAATTAAATTAGACTGGTAGAATTAAAAAGAGAGATTAACAATAGATACGAGAAATTAAAAATACATTAAGTACAAGGCATAAGAATAAATCAAAAACAGATATTATTTTGAAAGATTCAATAATTGCATACTTTCATGAATAAGTAAAGTAAAGCAGTAAAATGAATTATAAAATATTTTGAAATTTTTAATAATTTTTTATATCTCAACACATTTGTATAGTTATACTTAATACTAATCATTTCTCTTAAACGTTGCTATTCACGCATGAAGTAATAATGAATAATTAATATTAGTAGTAAAAGCCTAATCATTTGTATGACTTGTTGTCTTGCAAGTGTACAAGCTTTATAATAATTGGCAAGTGAGTAGTAAGCAGAATTTTGTTTAGTAAACGATAAATCTACGATTATGCATGAATGCATCATTTAAGAGGTAAAATGTGGGAAAAGTAAACAAATCAAATTTCTATGCTTACGTCATGCGCCAATAGGATTGTTTATCAGAAAACGAATCAAATTTCAAATACAAATAAAAATCACTAAATTTGTCTCAATTCTCATTCAGCAACAAAATGTAACCTGATACTTCTAAAAGTTTAAATATGCACAAATATACAACTAAAATCAATTAAATATTAATAAATTAAATTAATTAATAATAAGTAATATAAGAATATTTGATATTATAAATATGATATAACGATTTAAAAAAGTCATTTGTAATTTATTCACAAAACAAAAAGTTTGAATGAAAAATTGAAGCCATATGATCTCTTTGCAGCAATTTAATAGTTGTCAAAATTTTTATTCTATCACACCAAATTTAAATTTTTTAGTAAACCAGTCCTACACGTCATATTTTTGTCATTGCTACTTTATAATTCTTTTATTCTTTTTCCATCAATTCCTTTACATTTATTTTCATTCACTGAAGAGATAATCTGAAATTGAATTTTACGCTAATGCATTTTGCAAAACATTCTTTCTACTTATATACAACTCTCGTTTAATTATCTAACTGCCATTGATTTTTTTTACATGATTTATTAATTAACTAATATATACATAATATACGTGATTATTAATTAATTACTTTCATACTGAATTAAATGAACACATAAATAGTAATAACATTTACACTAGCGTCAATTTGCAATAATTTTTATTCTAAATCCTAATCGAACATTTAATACTTCGAAAAAAAGGACATTGCAGTTTGAAGTAAATAATAATATGTAGTGATTTTGTGCAAAAGTATACTTAGAAAATGTAAAATTTTTCAAATTTTTTTTCTGACAAAAATATAAAAAAGTGTAGACTTTTTTAAAATTTATACATATTTTGCTGGCAGTATTTAAATAAAAAATGAGAATTTTTTCATTGAAAAATTGCACTGAAAAACTTGAAAAGAGTAAACACATTAAATTATGATATCTATCTATGATCACAATTATTCAAATCATTTATGCACTCACTAAGCTAACATATTACTTAGTTAAATTATTTCTCATACTTTTAGCATCGTCTTTGCTATGCTATCAATGAATTATGTGTTTACTACTACACAAAACAAAATGGTATCAACTTTATCGTTACAAATTTTTTTGCATACTTGACAAAAAGTAGCATTTTACTAACAATTTCATACTCTAAATTTATAAAATACACATAATTCATTGTTACTTCTCTATACTCCACTAATTAATTAATGCAAATTAATTAGTGGAGTATAGAGAAGTAACAACTTCTTTGCCATACAACTGTACACCTTTCAAAGAAAATTTCAATCTTCGAAAATTAGTCAAAGGAGCTTTTAAGTCTTTGATTTTTATCACTAACAAATTTTATCAATCGAAGTTACGATCGATCAGAAAACAAAAATAAGAATAAGCATATGAATTTATGTTTTCTAAGTTGTTTCTAAAAATTTTACAAAAGTAAATACTTTCCAAGAAAATCAAAAAAATGATATGCAAATATATATCTCAAAATATCTCAAAGCTCTCATAATTAGATATCTTTCCAAGTTACAGTGAAAATTTGGTAATTTGTAATCCACTGAGAACTGTACAAAAATTTTTATTCATTAAAATTACACTTAATGAACAGGAATAAAAAGCTGTTTATCAGTATACATTTTTGTAACATAAAAAAGCAAAATAATGACAAAAACTGATATCTTCTATTTTTTGAGACAAATTTTCATGCCAGTAAAATCATTCTGTTAATTTTAAGCTATCAAAAAGTGACAAATCCAATGTTTTTATAGGACTCTAACATACAAATAAAATCTACCAACAATTGCAAATATAATTAAAGACACAAAAACTGAACCAGTTAAATCATAATTCATTTGCAACAAAATAAAATATATTTGACAGAGATACTATATTTAGTCTGGATTTTTATTTTTCATTCAAAATAACAATTAAGACGCTATTAACAAAATATATAAAACTGGAATGAGTAAATTTGATAATCTTGCAATTAAATATTGCATAAATTACAACAATACAGCAAGTAAAGCGTAAAGAGATTTTATTTTTGAATTCAGTATCAGACAATTAACAGGCATTTTTGTTCTTATCTTTTACATTATTAACAGTAGAAAGATTATAAATGATAAAAAATTACAACAATTCAAATTTAAAGTTAGTCAAAATTCGAATTTTGACAAAGTTCATAATATCAAGCAATGTAGTAATAAAAGTGAGTGAATTGGCACCGTTGTTAAAATTTGGCTTCTGAATTAAATATATACTTACAATGTATTTGGCAATCATAAAAAAAGTAACAAAGAATTAAACGAAAATTAATCTAGTTTATCATAAAAGCAAAGAAAAAAACTAAATCAAAATATAAATCTACTCAAAATTATTACAGCTTGAATGATGAACATTAAAATAATAAATTATCAAATATTTTACTGATCACAAAATTATTTACTGATTTTTAGTGATATTTGTTTGTACAATAATTTTTTATAGAATAATATCAAATCAAACTTTTCAATGATTGTTCGATTACTAATCGATGAGCAATTCGAGTAACTCCAAGTTGTGTTAACAATGACCGATCAAAACTTAACAAATGAGTACCATTTATTTGAAATTGTTGAAATTTCGGTGAATGTTCCGAAAGACCAAGTGTTTTCAACCATACAACAATATCATCAGTGGTCCAATCTTCTACATGTTTAGTAATGAAATTACTGTTATTCACAAGCGAACAGGTATGGTTCCCTAAAATTGAATAAAATATTAGAGATTAATAAATCAACCAAGTATTATTTAAATTAATTAATAAAAAATGACGTTTCTATAAAAAGTTAGTTTTGGACACAACCAAAATCTTTTTGCAATTTATGTTTTGTTTAAAAATAAAATGAAAATAATTGTATGTGATGAATCAGTTCTCATGAATTAATTAATTAATCACAGAAGCACAAAATAATAGAAAGTGAGCAGATGAAAACAAACAACAATTTACACGGGAAGACAAATTCACTCAAACATATACGCGACATTATGATTAATTAATGAAATTATAAAAAATTTCAGAGTTAAACACAGTAAATAATTTGCATTAAAAAGGGGTCTAAAAGTTTGTTAAAAAATTTGTTGAAATTTCGCAAAATTATTAACTAAATTTGATGGAAATCAATAATTTTTGGTAGTTCTTCAAAAAAAAAAAACATTACAAAGGGTAGTTTTTTTAAAAAAAAAAAGAAAAACATTACAAAGTTTTTTTAAAAAAAAAAACACTAGCACCCAGAGAGACAAAAAAAATCTCGATACAGCTTACGACAGTTTTTATGACTTTCGTTATCTGAATCTCCTGTACCACTATCAGGTTCATCATCAATGTAATCAGCAGATGGAGTGATCGAAGATTTTCTTAAAGACAGAGAGGGTGGAAAAGATGTGAATGCTGATCGATGTTGAATATCCGATGGTGGCTGCCCGCATGGCATCGAAAACGAAGAATTCAAACTTATCTGAAGACAAACTGCATTCCAAAGAAGTATGAAATAAGTTGGAAACATTTTACAAAAAAGCCATTTTGTCATGCAGAAGATATAAGCATTGAGTCAAATATTTGCCAACTTAATGAGCACAAAAACTGATTCAGACATTTTAAAAAGCTAAAATTTTAATATTGTTAATATGTAAATTATGTATAGTTTGAATGCATCGTTGTTTATTTGAAAAGTATTTATATTTATATGAATAAAAGTTCTTCAAAAGTTTTAGTACTAAAAAATTAACGCATGAAAACCAAAACTAAATTATAGAAACAAATCATAGCAAGGAAATCAAAACTAAATTATAGAAACTTTCAACTTCTAAATTATTCTAGGGCTAGAATTTGGGACAAAAGAATTAAGAAACCAGAAATAAACACATTAATTTCGATTACTATCAAACTTTTTTAAGTCTGAAATGAAATTTTATTAGACGCATGCAAAACAAAAACAATTGCAGATTAAAAATAGTAACAAGTACAATATTATTGAGACTTAACAAAAATTTCGTGGATACGATCCTAAAATTTTATAGATTTTAGAATATCTCCATAAATTTCAGCTACTATATTGTTGTCCAACGTACCAAATCATTATCGCTGTTAATTTGCTGAAATCGATGCTTTTGAACTGTTGCAGATGGTTGAGATGGCTGAGGTGGTTGAGACGGTTGAGATGGTTGAGATGGGTGAGATGGTTGAGATGGTTGAGATGGTTGAGACGGTTGAGACAATTGAGATGGTTGTGGTTGAAGTGGTTGAGGTGGTGGTGGTTTCGTGAAAGCAACTGATTTCTTGTTGTAAGCTGTACCAGAAGCGTAGTTTTCTTCAAACTGATGACTAATTAAGGAAACATGACACGAAGATTGATTGTCATCGTTTAACGACGGCTTCGAGTAATCACTGGATGTACCTTCTACACTTTTCAAATTTGATCCTGATGCTACTGCACTGGCACCTACCATTGATCCCATCTCTTCACCACATTCAGATGGCTCCAGTGAAGTTCGTGATGATGTATAGCTAAATTTTTAACACAATAGTCTTCATAAAATTGCTAATATTTAATTTTTTTATTATAAATTATTAGTACTTTACAGTTAAAAACTTATTAATTCTATTTTATATCCCCAAAATTTGATTCAAAATCTGATTAGTATCAGTTATTCACTAACCCACTATCTTTTTTGGAACCAATTCCTGTGAGAGAGTGTTCTAATTTAACAGCTTCTCGTTTACTTGAACTGGCAACATTCTGCCGAACTGATTCTCGCAAACTTAATCCATCATAACTGCTAGAACAAAGTTATTTTTGAAAAAAAAAGATTACTAAAAGATTTTTAAATGATCTCAATAGTTTAACTTCCATAACTGCTATGAAATACAAACTAATAAGAAGTAGTATTAAGCATAAATTTTTGCTTGCAATTAGTTTTTTATAAATTATGAAAACTGACCTTATCATTGTTGCCATTGGACGATTTTCAAGAGAAAAGACAACTTTTTTTGTTTCATCACTTTTGTTATCTTGAGCTACCTAAAACTTTTCAAAAATAATGCCAATATTGCATATTCTAATGGTTAGTTTTTTAAGGTTTTATTTGGGAAAACTATATACCTTAATCCGTCTTTTTGCTAAAGCATTACGTAAATCACAATCAAATCCACGCGGAATTGTTGCAGGAGAATTTGTTTGATCACGTCGTGTAATAGGCTTTAACTTCACTGCAGATAAAGCTTCACTGCTAATCACAATGTTATTCATTTTACCACTTCCTTTTTCCTTACTTTCACATTGCTCGTCTGGTGGATCAGTTTTAAAAGACTATAATTCAGTACAAGCTGATATCAAATAAATGAACATATTTCATTTACACAAATAAATGAAGATTAAAAAACTGAGCACCGTTGGATTTTCATGGTATGATAATGCAATCCATTGAGTGTTAATGATGTACTGATTTTTGAAAAGTATTTGAAATAAACAGCCAATTCATAAAAAGAAATAAGAGATAATTGTAAATAATTTATAAGAATCATCAATAATCTGTTAACTGTAAAGGTATAACAAAATTTGCGCATCACATAAAATGTTAAAATGATTACCACTGATTTTGTTGTTGTTTTTGCAGATGGTAAAGATAACTGTGTAAGTGGAAGAGGTGGTAGTGGTGGTGGTGGGGGTGGTGGTGGTGGTGGAGGTGGTGGTGGTGGTGATGCCATTGTTTCTATTCCTGATGATGGTGTTAAAGTTACGGTATTTGTGGATTCAGAAGGGGACAGTAAAGATGCTTGAGAAGGTAAAGTATTCACGTGAACTGCGGAATTTTTAGCAGATGAAGAGATATTTGAAAAATTGTACAATAAAGGTGGAGCTGGTGGAGGAGTTTTAGGTCGTTCACTAAGCCTAGATGGGCTTGAATAATCAGAAGTATTGGAACCGCACTGAATTGTATCTTCATGAAGAGAAGTACGTACAGCTGGCAGCTGCTCTTCATTTACCAATCGTTGCAGATCTAACAACAAAAAATTTAATAATTTAACAGAAAAAAGGTTTAATAATAAAACACTAAGAAGAATTCAAAGTATTGCGCATTACAAATAATTAAGAAAATTTTTGACTAGAAACTGTTAATGAATCAAGAATAACCTTGCAGGTATAATTATTTACAAAGCAGCAAATTACTGATTAATCATGACAAAACATCAAAAGGTTTGCTAGCACTCAAATTAAATCTTAATTAAAATTAATTATCAATTATTGCTAAACTTGCAAACCTTATTCAAATCTGTTTGAATATTCATTTCAAATTTTTTGTCACTCATTTACCTTGCATCTCAATTTTTTTTTGAAAATTGTTTCATGTGTTTTTCTAATTTTTATTCTATTTATTTTTACAAATCTGCAATTTGCATTAAAAAATTGTGACAAATTCTTAAATTTGCTAGAAGTTAATTGATAAAAATACAGTTTTAGTGAGACAAAAAATGGTCATTTTATATTTTTCATTTATGAAAAAAAAAATAAAGCACTTATTATCAAATAATATTTATCAAAAACCTGGTGATGAATTAAAGCTTTGCATTGCAGAAGGTGCATAATGATCATATGCAGTTACAGATGGCAAAATTGTCCGATGCAGGCCACCTTTTTTATATCTTTTCAAGTCATTTACAGAATTAAACTTCAAACCATATACATTTGATAGCGAATCCTATAAAGTTATACAATTGTTATCTCAGTAAAAATTTATCTTGAAAAATGAAATCAACTAGCGTAAGAAGTCTCTAAATGATTATAAAATATAGTGAAACAAAAAAAATTCCTACAGAATCATTTTCAAATCTAACTTCTTGTATAGGAATAGGTTGAAACTGAGAAGTGCCTTGGCCTTGCCGCTCCATTAATCGTTCTAATTCTTCCATTGAAATTCGTTTTGAAGCATTAATTCGCTGTTTCACTGAAGCAAATCGTTCGTAGGTACTTTGATTTAATGCTTCAACAGATTTAGCACAATGCAATGCCAGCATATTATTACCATATCCATATATTTCATTTACGTTCTCTGCAAAAAAATTAACAGTTATAGCAGGAACAAATTAGTGATAGAATACGGCATTAGTAGACGAAGCTTAGAAATAATTGAATAAGTTTTAGTCTATACTAATTAATTATTCTCTTAGGCTGAAATGCACTTAATTAATATGCAGTAGTGCATAGTAATGTTTTACTTATTAATAAGCAGATATTATATTTATGTGTAAATTTTCATTTGCTCTTTTGTTTTTTTTTTTCTAAATCAAAATTTTTGTTAAAAATTTTAGCATGACATATTTTAGCATGTTTTACTTTTTAAATTTTCAATATTGAAAACTACAAACAAACAATTCAATAACAACTACAGAATGTACAACATCCGTGCAATTGAACGAGCAAACAAATCGAACGAACTTAAATTAAAAAAGAAATTAACTTCCCATCGAAGTACACAAATTACAATTTTTCAACTGTTAGCCGAGTGTTTGCTTGTCTTTGAAAACAAAATGCAAAAAATTAAAAAATGTAAAGTCTTACAGTGAATTATACAAACTCATTCAATCCATACTTAATTTTAAATTAACTTAATGAATTGCTTCATTTTGCAGCAAGTGTTCATCTCCATTCGCATAATATAAAATGCACAAATTTGCAAAATATGCAATGCATGTGATCAAATTCTGATAAGGAAAAAACAAAATTATGAGTGTAAAATAAGCGATGAAATTTACCATCCAAGCGAAAATTGACAGGTAGGCGCGTTCGACGAGGTAATGAACAACTGACCGTTGTAGGATGTCGAGGCGGTTTTGATGGACGGTAATCTCGAACTATAAGTGCTTTCACATGCATAACAAAAGGATGCTAATACTCACAAATTTAGCAAAGTTTCTACTGACCAAAAAGAAACAAAAATTAATCTACAAATTATAAGATAAATTTAAAAATTAAAATTCCCACTTTTAATTTACGTTTTATTTAATATTTGCAGTGATTGAAAAACTTCTTTTGCTGAAAACAGCTTCAATATTAATGCAAAAAGCACAATTTGCATTATTATTGCTGAATGAAATTTCTATTTGTATCACTGACCTATTGGAAAACTATCATACAACTTGAAATTTTCGTCATTTCTATACTATTGTATAGAAATATATATTATATATATATAT